CTGCCCGGTAGCCCTGCGGACCTGGCCTCTGCTGACTGCCCTCGGGCGTTAGCCCACAGCCTGGCCTGTGTTGTAACACCATGCTGGTCTGCACCTCAGGGCCTTCGGGGCCTTTGCACTGGCTGATAGCATCTCAAAAGCTTTCTTCCAGGAGCCTGAAGCAGCCCCCTGCTGGACTCATTTCTGACTCCCTAACTTGGTCGCAGCATTTGCTCCATACAGTGAAGTCCCGAGCTCCTGGGGCTCAGTGACTACCCCTCCCAGGATACACACCCCCTCTCCCTGTCCTTGTCTACAGGAGACCCAGATCCTAGCTAGCTGAGCCTTGGAGGCACCTCATGGGCTGCCTGCTATTGTGTCACCTTCATTAGGGCTCTTTTTGCTCCTTCATTTAATTAAATTCCAGGAAGCAATGCTAATGAAGGTCCTAACGAGTCACGGGAGAGGCTAGCAGCCTTGGCCTTTGGGCAGGGTGGCAGGGAGGGCTGTGAAACCAGGGGAGCAGAGGAGTGGCTCCTGGGATAGGGGTGATTATCACTCCCCAGGCCCTCAAAGGACCCTGTGTTTCCCAGGGGAGGTGGCCTTTAGAGACTGTGTATGTGGCAGGCACAATGGCAAACTGAGCCATGAACTCTTCAAGGACAAGGATGGGCTCAGCTTAGGCCTTGGCCCCAAAGCCCCCAGAGCACCCTGGGTGTCCTCCCAAGGCCCCAGGCAGTTCTACCCCCAGGCATGTCACCCTGAGTGCCAAGACCGGTTGGATTTGCAGGGCTAGATGTGACTGGTTGGCTGCTGCAGGCTCCGCCCCCCCCCCCCCCCCCCCAGCCTGCCCCGGGGACTTGAGAAATCTCTGCCTGCCCGCTCTTCCATCTTCCATGACGCTCTCACACTGCTGTCCCTCTTGCTCTCATTATTCTGGTCAGGCTAGCCTCTCTTCTGCTCCAGGAACACCCAGCCCCTTCCTGTCCTAGGGTCTTTGTACTTTCTGTCACCTCTGCCTGTCACTCTTCTGGCTTGTCAAAGAGTTGGTCCCTTCTCATCATTCATAGGTTCCTTCCTCAGACTGTACCCTCCTCCCAGATTCTCCTCCCCCACCCTCATCCATGTCAGGTGAAACCCCCTAGCCTATCCAGAAACTTCTGTCAAGGAGTGTGAGGGTGGGGGGCCTGAGCTCTTCAGGACAAAGACAATAGTCTCTGAAGGAGGTGAATGAGCAGGATAGGGTACCCTGGGCCCCAGGCCTCCCAGGCTTGGGGCCATTTCTGTGGGAGGGAGAGAAGCCTGGGAAGGCAGGTTTGAAGGAAAGGACAGAGTGAACAGTGTAGCTGACTCCAATCTCAGAACTGCTGGGCTAAGAGGAAGGGGGAAGTGCAGGGGACAGACCAGGAAGTGGAGCCTGGATGTAGCTGCTGAGGTCTGCAGGCAGAAGCTTGCTGGGGCGCTGTGTGCCAGGCTGTGATTTGGTGGTCACAGGGCCTTGCCAGGACTCCCTGCCACCTGGGAGCCATGGAGGTGCTGTGGTCAGGATCTTGGCTCTGGGGATCCCTGGGGGGTTCTGCCTGTTCCTGGACTCGGGGTGGGGTAGACACACCCATCCCGAAACTGCCTTTGGGGAAGTGCCGGCAGCTTCCTCTTCCTAGAGCCTGTAGGCTGGGGTGTCTGTCACGGCCCGCAGAGGGGGGGGTGGTCTCTGCTGCTCAGGGTAGGAACTTGGGAGAAGCTGGACATGCTCCTAGGCCTGTGGTCAGCCCCAAGGCTATTCTGGCTTTCCAGTGAGCTGGCAGCTGCCACTTCTCCCTTCCAGCTGAAGTGCCACCTTCAGTTCGGCCGAATGTCCTTTTATAGTCTTTATGGTATAGTCCAAGTGGTGCGGGGCCGGTGGGCACAGGACCATGTGGCTAGGAACCCACCCCTGCTGCCCAAACAATGTCTCTCAAAAGGATTTCTGGGTCCCTGAGTGTGAAGGATGCAGGTGCCCGTAAGGTCCCTCACTGGATGACCTGACCTTGGATGGGTCCTGGCCTCGGCTGCCTCAGCTGCCGGGCAAGGGCTTCCTCCACCTCTGACCCTTGATTTGCTCCTCAGCCCTTCCCCAAAACCACCCTCCCAGTCCTACCTCCCTGTCCCTCTTCCTGAACTGTCCTTCCTCAATGCACTTCTCCCTCCAGCACTCCCACATCACCACCACCTCCACTGAGAAGGCTCCCTGACCTTCACTTCTTCCTTCTTTGCACACACAACCAAGGCCAATATTTTTACAGTGTCTGCAGGATTAGCTGTTTACACCTCTCCCAGCTCCAGAAGAAGGGGCCCCTGGAAGGGTGAAGTTGAGTTTGTGTGATTTGTTCATTTAATTTGACAATATTTAGCCATCTTCAAGGATTATGCTTCAAGGGAAGTGGAATCAGAGACCTGGTGTGACCGAGAATCAGCACCAGGACACGGGGGTCTGGCTAGGGAGGAGGCAGCCCGAGGACACCAGGAGTCAGAGAAGCCCAGCTCCAACCAGGGAAGGGGAGATGGGGACGAGGGGATGGGGACTGAAGGGCACAGCAGAATGTTGCAGTGCTGGTGTGCGGCCAGTGGAGGGAGAACCTCGAACAGGGGCAGACCTGTGGGGCCTTGGAGACATTACCGTGACAACCACTCACCCTGCTGAGGGTTTCCCACATGCCATGTGCATTCTGCACATCTCACCTACCTTTCCTTCTTTGTCCTGACTTCAGCCAGTGCAGTGGGTAGATAATGATTTCAGGCCCATTTTACTGATGAGAAAACGGAGGCACAGGGAGTTTCTGGTGTTGTCCAAAATAATATGCGGCTGGCAAGTTTGCAGACTGCTCCCCAGAATTGAGGGTTTGCTGTCAACTTCCACTCCACCACCTCTGCCTCCTACACCATCCAAAGCAGTGTGTATGGGCCGTAGCCTCCGGGCACTGGGGAGCCACAGAAGGTTTGTGAGCAAGAGAGTGATATGATTTCTTTCAGCAGGTTCCCCTTTGCTGCCATGTAGAAAGGATGGATTATAGGGGGAACAGAAGAGCCAAGGAGAAGGCTGGAGGCCTAGAATAAGGGACTGTGGACAGAACTGGGACACATTTGAAAGGGAGTTGAGGAGGGAAAGAAATTGACAAGACACAGGGTGGGGTGGCCATGTCTCTGGACAGTGAGCGCTCACAAAATCAGGACTGCAAGAGCAGTGCCAGCAGGGGAGTTCGAAGTGTCTAGTGTGAGGACAGTATGGGACTCACAGGGCCGGCAGTCAGGGAAGAAGGTGGGCCAGGGGTGGCCATGTGGGGTCTGGGTCCCTGAATAGGAGGTATGTGACTAGAATAGCAAACGCAGGCCTAGCCCTATCCCTGGGGACCCCTAGGAGCTGAAGAGGGAGCAGTCCAGCCCAGAGGGGTGGAAGCAGAGGTTGCTGGACTCGCTAGGAAAAACACTGGACTGGAAGGGAGTGGCTAACTGGTGGGGAGGGAGCAAGGACCACAGGACCTGGGCTGGGGCTGGGGGAGGCCATACTCCCCAGGGGCCTCATCCTGCCCCGCCTCCATGGATGGGGGTCTGTATCTGCCCACCTCTGGTAAGCCAGGCCTCCAAGGAGCTGACAGGTTCTCCCTGTTGCCCGGCAACTGCAAGAGCTGTTGGCTGTTGCTAGGAGCAGGCTGGGGAGGCCAGAGGAGGGAGGATCAGCTCTCAAGCATGGGGAGGAGCTGGTGGGGGAAGAGGCAAGCCCTGGAGCTGGGTTTGTAGTCAGTGTGGGGACAGGCTGTATGTGCCCATCTGTGTAGCAGTCTGTGGATCAGAGGCATAAATAAAGCACGCCCTGCGTGTCTGTGTCCCTGGGCAGACATCAGGTGTCTTCACTGCGTTTACTGCATGTTTTTGGCGGTGCTTGCCTGAACTTTGGTTCCAGGAAGCAAGGAGCTTAGAAGGAAACATTGAAGGACTTACAGGCCAATGGCTCCTCAACAAGGAAGCTCTTCAGATAGAGATACATAGACACTCCAAGGAGAGAAGACAGCCTGAGGACCGGGAGCTGAAACAAGTGTGCCTGGGTGGGAAGGGGGTAGTCTGTGCTGCAGAGGGGGCTGTGCATGACCAAGCATAGGTGGTGGCCAGCTCCCCTCCTGGCTTTGTGGAACTTCTTGGTCTTTGAGCTGGAGCCTCCCCAGCTGTCCCACTAGAGACGTGGCTGCCTCCATCCCACCTTTGCCCAGTCATGGGGTTGCAGCCATGGTCTAGTGGAAAGGCCGTAAGATCATAGCCACTATGTTTCCAGAAGTCAGGTGGCATCTCCCTCCCTCTCTTCTCCTTTGGGTCCCAGTTGCAGAGTTCCAGGCTGGAGTCCAGAATGGCTACCTGCAGGAGGATGCCCCCCTGGAAGATCAGAGAAGGGTGGATACATCTTGGAAGACTAGAGAAGGCACCCCAGCAAAGGTGTAGAAATGGCAATAGACTATTTTTAAATGCAACCCAGAAAGGGGCCAAATCCTCCTTTGGACGGAGAAAGCCGCAGTCCAGAGGATCCGGGCTCTGTGAGTCCCGAAACAAGTTTATTGGATTCATTAACTTTAACAAGTGAAGAGGACCCGCCTTCTCCACCCTCCTCGCGCAACTCGCAGAAGCTCAGAGTGCTGGTTCCAGCGGATCCTCACCCTCCGGCGGCAAGATCCTCCCGCCCCCGCCGTCCAGCAGCTGAGCCTCAGGCGCTCGGAACCCAATCCTAGCCCTGCCTCCCGGTAGCCCGCCCTGAGTCCAATCTCTCTCCGCTGGCTTTACCTCTACGGTTCTCTCTCTCTCTGCCTGGCTCCACCCCCAGCCCGGCCGGAGCCGGGGCTGCGCCGAACTGCTCCTTCGCTCCGCCCTTGAGCCAATCACCGGCCCAGAATATCTCATGGCCCCGCCTCTGGGCCCGCCCCGGCCCAGTCGCAGGCCTGGCTCTCACCGGCCCCACCCCTGGCCCGCCCCATCGTCGGTGCGCCGAGTCCTGAGAGGCACCGCCCGCAGACGCTCGGAACTACCGATCCGAGAGCTACCCGGAGAGGGCCGGCGGCGGGAGTGGAGTGGGTTGCGCGGGGCCGAGCCGGGCCGGGGGCCGTTTGGGGGCCGGGCGGCGGCCGGGCCGGCGGACGGCGGGATGGGCTGCACCGTGAGCGCTGAGGACAAGGCGGCAGCCGAGCGCTCCAAGATGATCGACAAGAATCTACGGGAAGACGGAGAGAAGGCAGCGCGGGAGGTGAAGTTGCTGCTGTTGGGTGAGGCCGCGCCCTGCGCCGGGACCCCCGATTCCCGCTCCAAACCCCCAACAAGGACTTTGACTTCCAGGCTCGGGCCTCGAACTCCCACACTCGGCCTGGACCCCCCACACCTGGATTTGATTTGAACTCCCAGACCCGGCCTGGCCAGGACACCTAAATAATGGTTCAAAACTCTGGGTTGGCCTAGACCTCGGATCCATAGCCCAGACTCTAGATCAGGCCCTCAACTCACCCCGGACTCCAAGCCCCAAAGCCAGCCCACTAGCTTGACCTCAACTAACACCTCAAAGTAAGGGGCCCAGAACCCTGCTTGACCATCGCCCCTGCTCACCAACCTTAAAGGCCCTCAGAACCCTTGCCTTGTCCTTCTGGCCTTCCCTAGATTTTACCCAAACCCTCAGAACCCCAGTCAGCCCCCACCCTCAGGTACCACCTGTTACTCCCACCTGCTCCCCTATTCCCATTGGGCAGGAGTATCCCTGGGGCCCCTGCCAGGCCCCCAGCCATTCCCTCCTTTCCCCTCTGTGTCCCATCTCTGCTCTGGACCCTGTACCCACCTGCGCACCCTGACCCCAAGGGGCCTCAGTTGGGAAGCCATGGCTGCTCACGAGCCCTCTCGGCAACTGGAACCCTCAAACCTTTAGAGACCCCAACTCTGTGCCTCTGGCCCACCAGGTCCCTCCCTGCACACATCACTCCTCAAACCCAGCCGCTCCCACTCCCTCAGTCCTCTCCCGCACTCTGGCCTTCCCCAGAGTCCCCCACCTTCTTGTATTGGTGGGCCAGGCTGGGAGGAGAGGGCCTAGACCCCCAAGGGGCTGGACTGAGGCTCCGCTGGCCCCCCTGAGGGAGGAGGCCAGGACGTGGCTTCCCAGGGAGGTGGCGATGGCTATCTGTTCCCCAGTTTCTGAGCCCTGTCTGGGCTGGTGAGGGAAGGTCTGGGAGTAGGAGGGAGCGTGGAGGAGTTTGGGTTGTGAAGCCTTCAAGGCCAGGGAAGATGGTGGCTGCTTGAGAGGTGGGGGGAAGTGGAAGTGGTAAGAAAGCCGACATGTTGCTGCCCTGGCGGGCCAGCCCAGGAGGTCTGCTGGCGGGTACTGGGCTTCCCACACCCCCCTGGGCAGAAAGGCTAGGAGTGGGTGAGCCTGTCGGGTCTTGAGGCCCGGTGAGGAGGGGGTAGTGGACCAGCCGGCTGAGGAGTTGGGGTGCCAGACAAGGGTGGGCATCTGAGGTGGACTTTTGCAAAGACTCTGGGCCCTGTAGTTGTCCCCATCCAGCCTCCCCCTGGGAGCAGGTGTGGTGCCTGGTGGCCGTCTGACTTGGGGGAGGTGTCAGGGTTGGGGGCAGGGAGGCCCCTGCAGCAGCACTGGAGGCTGGCTAGTGTGTGGGGGGGTGTGGCCCCTCATCCCCAGAGCTGCTGTGGGGTCCCCAGGTTGTGAAAAGTGGAGCTTTTCATTCTGGGCATGTGGCCGAGAGACAGCGTGTCTTCCGTCATCCGCCCATCTGTTGACTGTCCCTGGGGGCCTGGCCTTGGGGGCACAGCCCTGGAGGTTTCAAAATGGCATCCGCTTCTCCACTGCCGGAGGAAGAGAAGGGGCGGGAAGGGGCGGCGGCCCAGCCTTCTGGGCTGTTTTGCGTCGGGCGCTTGCCTCTTCCTGTCTCTGCTGCGAGTGCGGCAGCGGGTGGGTGTCGCCTCGGCGGAATGCCCGCCTGTCGCCTGCTGGGCCTGGGATGGTGTCTTCAGCACTGCCGCCTCCCAGTGCCTGGCCCAGGGGACTCTGGGCAGCCCCGTCCCCGGCCAATGTGGGCCATGATGGGGCCAGGGACACCAGGCTCCTGGCCTGTTCTGTGTCCCAACCTGACCCCATCCCACCAGTCTTGCTCCTAGGAGCCCAGCTCAGGTGTTGGGCCAAGCAACCCCTTTGATGCTGGGTCCGCTTAACCAGGGGTGCAGGGTCCTGTTCATCATGTTCTAGGCTGGGGAGTCCATCTTAGCATCCTGCCCCTCCTGCTTTGCTTTTTCTGTGAAATGGGCTCCCGGGTTTGGGCCAGAGTTGTGCCTGGGCCCAGGTTGGGGAGGCCAGGGGCCTCGTGGAGGTTCATGTAGGAGTGTGGGGTGGGTACTGAGACCCTGAGACATTGCAGCGGGCTGGTAGATCAAGCTCTGCCTGAAATTAAGGACCCCATCTGCCGAGTCTGCGTGGGGAAGTGTCCTGGCCTGCCATCCCTTTCCCACCCAGGTACAGGAGGTGCCCAGCTGGGGCAGCTTCTGAGTGCTGGGCGCCTGTCCCACATAGCGGGAAGGACTCTGTCCAGGCAACGGGACTCAGGCTGGGTGATTGCCAGCCCTCCTTCCCAGCCAGAACCGCGCCTGCTGCCCCACCCGCATACTGGCTCCTTGCAGTCGTGAGTAGAGCTGCCAGCAGGACGGTCCTGGCTTTGTCACCTTCACAGAGGCAGATGTGGTACACGCTGGGGAGAGGGTTGTTCCTGGCAGCTGGGTGGGGGGAGCAGAGTTGTTGATACCAGCCCTGCTCTAGGGACACCCCCCCACCCATCATCCGCAGGTGGAATTTGGGGCCTTGGGCTGGGCATTAGAGGGAAGGAAGCCAGAGCCTGGGGGTGTCTCTGATTTCCGAAGGGCTTGTGCGGGCAGCCTGCAGGGAAGAGAGAGGCAGTGCCCGTCGTTGGCCCCTGGCCCTTTGCATCCACCTCTTCCCTTGTGCTTTCTGCATTCCTGCCTCCTCTTCGAGACTCTGCTCAGGGACCACCGTCCTTGAGAGCCGCTTTCCCGAGCCTGGGGAAGCATCTCCTCTGGCTCCCAGTGCTCCCGCTTCCCCCTTTAGAGCGAGGTGTTCCTGGGTCACAGCTGCCCGCCCTTGAGACTTCTCGGGCAGGGCTGAGCCTCCTGTGCTGAGCATGGAGCCTGGCACCTGTTGGGCGCTTCTTGTCTGTTTGTTCGGTGGAGGGAGAGCTACTGGTCTGAACTTGGCCTTGAGGATGGGTAGCTGAAGGAGTAAGAGGAGCCCGGCATGTCGTGGGCAGAAAGGAAGTGTTCAGAGTAGGAGGGCCCATGACCAGGACTGGGGGCGATGCTGAACTTCATGCTCTTTCCTCCCGGTCTCACTGCCGGCAGCTCAGAGACAGCAGCCCTTACCCTCCCACGCCGAACTCTTGCTGACCAATCTGCAGCTTGTCACAGGGCACAGCACGCACGCACGCACGCACGCAGTAGGGACTCCAGCTGTCCCTACGGGAGAGTGGCTCTGTGTTCTCCCTTCAGCTCAGGCTCCGTGGGGCCTGTTGCAGGCCCATCTGGCTCCTGGGGTCAGACTAGAGCAGCTCCACGGGAATGCCATTAGGCTTACCCAAGGAAGAGGAAGGGCGTTTGGTGGCCTTTGTCCTGTCTCTGCAAAGGGCCTGGTGACTGTAGGTGCCTGTCGAGTGTGTGTGAAAAGAACAAGCTATTGAGCAGGTCGGGAACAGGGACAAGTCATTCTGGGGCTACTGCCTGGGGCCTGGCTGGCTGGGTAGTGGGTATAGAGTCTAACGGTGCCTTGAAAGTGGGCGTGCTTCCTGGAGGAGTCCTCCAAGTGGTCTTGAAAAATGAGCAGCATTTGCTAGGGCCAGACATTGGGGGCAAAGGGACCAACTCAGCAAGGGCCACACAGTGGTGAGGACAGAGACTGAGGGAGGAAGACCTAGCTTAGGTTCCCGAGCCCTTGGGTGGGTGTTTCCTGGCCTGGGGTAGGAGGGCTCGCCCTCCCCGGACCAGCTCCTGGGGTCATCAGATCTGGGTTCGAGTCCCAGCCCCACCTAGTGCATTGGATGAGAACGCCAGCCACAGGTGAAGTGCTGGTAGGCTCCCCATCCATAACGTGGGCGCAGGGTGCCTGCCTGCAGCCGCAGGTGTGGTGGGGGCAGTGCACCGAAGTCTGCAGGTGCGGAACTGGGGCGGGTGGGGTGGGCCTTCTGATGATTCCTGCAGAGCCCAGAGGTTGGTAGGGAGGGGTCTCGCTGGCCTGGAGGCTGCTTGGCCCCTGTATGAAGTTCCGGGGGAACCCCCTCCCTTGACCTCAAGCAGCTGCTGACAACAAGTGGGGAGACAGAGGCGTGGTGCCACCTAGAGTGACAGACTGTCCTGGGGACCTTAAGCCCAAACCCTGGGGACTGAGCCGTCTTCCTGAGAGAGAGTCTGGGGGCCCGGCCTACCTCCAGCCCCTCCCCCGCCCCCCCTCCATCCTGGCTGGAGCTCATTAGCATTTGAATGGGGGCGGGGCAGCTTGGGCCTCCGAGCCTCTTCTTCCCACCCCTCCCCCAGCCTGGGTAAGGCTTTGTCTTTGAGAGCGGGCTCAGTGAGCGAGGGTCTGAGCCACGTCTGCACTCCTCTCCCTGCAGCCTGCCCCGACCCGTGTTGGTGGGGGCAGCCTGAGAGTTCTAGGGGTGCCCCCGAGCCAGGAGACTGGGTGAAACCGGGCGACTCTGCAAAGGAAGTGTCGCGGGAGCTCAGCTGGGGGGTGGGGGGAGAACCCCAGGCAGAGGGCCCCGCAGTGGCGAGGACTGAGAGAATGAGGCCGTTGTGGTCGGGGGTGGAAGTCAGGGCAGCTGGGAAGCACAGGCCTCCATGCCAGGCCCAGGCAGCTCCGGGCCACCCATTGTGCCTGAGTCGGGGCCTGGGCGACCAGATGGGGGCTGGCACGGTCAGGGGCCCCCCAGTCCTGGGCAGCCTGTCAGGTCCATCCCAGCGGTCCCTCGGCCACCAGAGCTGCAGGGGTCGGCCCTCGGGGTGGCTGGAGCACGTTGGTCCTGTATGCCCTGTCCTTGAGCTCATCTCTGGCTCGGTCTCTCTCGGCCTTTGTCTCTAAGAGCCACCCGTTCTTTTGGCAGGAACAGGATGGAGGAAGCTTTGTCCACATAAGCTCTTAGCCACTGAGGGACCAAGACCATGTCCCACCACAGTCCCTGGCAGAGGGCGAGACAGCCTGACCCAGAGCCTGGTG